GAGTGCAGCCCAATCCAGTTTTTCATATGACAGGAGTGGACTATTGTGGGCCTTTCTATCATAAGGCAGAGGCCAGAAATAAGGCATACCACAAGTGCTATATCGCCGTCGTTGTCTGCTTTTCCACGAAGGCTGCTCATTTGGAAGTGGTCCAGAGGCAGTCCACGTTACATTTGGAGCGACAATGCTACAAACTTTGTCGGTACAAAGAGAGAGCTTGCTAAGCAGAAAGAACTCTTTTTGAGCGAGCAGCACACAGCATCGATATCTTCGATTCTATCGATTCGAAGTTCATCCCTCCGCGTGCAGAGTCGTCGGTGCATCCATCATAGCCATCGATGAATTAAGAACTCTTGCATATGCGATTTCAGCCATCCTTTACTCCCGTCCACTCTGTCCAATTTCAGAAAATGCTGAAAGCTTGAGGTGCTAACACCGGCGCATTTCCTGAAGGGTTCCAGCTACACAAAGTTTCCTGAGCCTGACATTACTCATCTACGCGAAGGCCGCCTCAGCAGATGGCAGCGGGTGACCTAGATGCAGCATCATTTCTGGAAAAGGTGGAGCAGCGAGTATATGTCCCTACTTCAATAGAGGAACAAGTGGCGCGCCGAAACGTCTAACATGAAGGTTGGAAGCATAGCTTTGCTGAAGGAGGACAACGTTCCACCCTTGAGATGGCAGCTTGGGTGCATCCAGGAAGTCATACCCGGCGGGGACGGAGTCATCAGAGTAGCTATGGTCCGTACAGCTACGGGTCTGATCAAGAGAGCCGTCGCCAAACTAGCCGTTCTGCCCATTAATTCCAAGATAGTTGGAACCTTACCTTACCTTACTGGGGGAGTATGTTCGGAGCAGATCGCCAGCGCCTAGCCATGCGCGCATAGGTGTACGACGGCACCTGCAGCTCTCTTTGCTTATCTTTTGTCCCCTTCTTTATTATACCACTAAAGCTGTCGCTTATCTATTCAGCAACTACTTTTAAAGTTTTCGAGATCTCAGCGTTTATACGGACGGCTAGCGAACCTGATCATGAATATATAAGTGACGTATACGCAAATACCCTGGATACCAAACCCAACATACAACCTGTATATCCCGAGACACCCATTATTCCAATTGTCAATAACATAAGTCATCAATCCGACATAAACATTTAACCCCTCAGACACAAATCTTTCCCACGCCTTCGATCGACTGCACCAGTAATATAAACACTTCTCACGCCTTTATCGACGACGGCAAACATAAACAATATTCAAACATTTAAACAAAGGGTCCAGCCTGAGAACCCATTCGTCAGCATAAAAGCTTTACCCAATGCGAAATAATTAAACAAAAGATGCAGCCTAGAAACCGTTTCATCGGGCCACAGATTTGACCAATCCAAATTCTTAATCAAAGTCCACTTTCGCTGCTCGCGGCGCTGTCATCGCTAAAAGCCATAGTTATAAGTATAATGCATTTTGTAAAATCAGTTTAAGATTGGGGATCTTACTTGAAAGAACTTAACCAATAAAAACTCCGCTATATATTAAAACAAAAATTTTTTTTTTAATATATCCTGAAACAAAAACTATAATTGGCGCAGTCGGTAGAATACAAGTAATATCCTCGCGAGTGACTACCTAAAAAGGACTTAAAAAAATCACTTCGCGAAAATAAATCTAATTAATTTCGCCTAAAAAAAACATTGAAAATAAAATTGCCATCAACATCAGCAGCAGTAGCCGTAGCCGCAGCAGCAAAATCATCACAAACCCTCTCAGATGTATCCATGAATCATTTCCTTCTGCAACTAAAGCAGATAAATAAATTCAATGGAGACCCACTCTATTTGGTTCTCTTTATAAAAGAAGTCGATGAATTAGGGTACCATTACCCTACAACATCAGAAGGGCCAAAACTAAATTATCCCAGCAGCCATCAGGAACCTCCTAGTTGGACAAGCCAGATCACTCTTGATGAGAAATATACCACACGACTGGAAGGAATTGAGAACCCTACTTATCAGCGAGTTCAACAGCGCAACACCTCAACATCGAATAATAGCAGAATTACGTGAGACTAAATATAAAAATAATTTACGTAAATTTGTTGAAGAATTAGAAGAACAGACAAGTAGAATTTGTTGTAAACTGAGCCTAGACAATAATCCATCAAACACAGTCCTAGTTTCGTGGACATTGATACATTAGCTGAAATGATTCGTGAAAAATAACCAATCAAAACTTGTATTATGTTGAGTAAATTTGATATTTCGTCTCCTCTTAAATTAAAACAAGGAGAACGCTATAGTCGAGTACCTCGACTATCAGATACCCGTTACTCAGCTATATGGAGATATGCAAGCAGCAAAGCGAGATTAAAATGCGCCACCTACCGGCGGTATAGAGATTTAAGCGTTATGGGCGTTAGAGTGGGCGTGGCAAATTTTTTTTGGATCAATCGATAGGTATTGACTAGACCAATACGTTTCAGTTAAAATTTTTTATCTAGCATGAAAATTGTGGGCGTCACAGGGTTTTGCGGTTTGTGGGCGTTAAAGTGGGCGTGGCAAACTTTTTTTTGGGTCAATCGATAGGTATTGATGAGAACATTACATTTCAGTTAAAATTTTCTATCTAGCATCAAAACTGTAGGAGCCACAGTTTTGGGCGGTTTGTGGGCGTTAGAGTGGGCGTGGCAGTCTACTGAAACAAACTTGCGCTGCGTAGGAAGCTCAGGAATCTGCACGCCAAATCTCAATAGCCTAGCTCCCATAGTTTCCGAGATCTCAGCGTTCATCCGGACAGACGGACAGACGGACATGGCTAGATCGACTCGGCTAGTGATCCTGATCAAGAATATATATACTTTATGGGGTCGGAAACGCTTCCTTCTGCGTGTTACACACTTTCCGACGAATCTAGTATACCCTTTTACTCTACGAGTAACGGGTATAACAAGCTGCCCAAGCTGTAGGAATCTTTGAAGATAAGCCCATAAATAATCGATTGTATATGTTCCAAAACTCTCAGGAAGATGATGAATTTCAAGATTTTAAAACATTAAAATCATACTCAAATACAAAACCCAACTATCATTCAGATAATAACCAAGGGGGTAGACTCCAAAATAACAATTATCAAAACAAATATAACAACAATTAGCAGAGACAGAATAGGTTCGACTCTAATAGAAATTGGGGTAACAACAATAATTCTAATAATAACAATTCAGGAAATAATTGTTATCCTAAAACTTTTCAAAACAATCAAGGACAGGGTAACCAAAGTACTCAGAGTACCAATATTCCCCAAAAACGTCCCCGAGTTTCAGATTCAGATCAACAGGATACAGGATTAAGCATAAATTTAATAAACGAAAACTTCTTTAACTACCCAATTAAAAATAATTCCACTAAAATTAAAACAATAGTTGAAACTTTAAATAAATTTATTCAGTTTAGCATTCCAAAATTATTTTCATCTAAGCAAACATTTTTTATAAAAAACTTTTCAAAACATTATGACATTCTTATAGGAAGACAAATTCTGAAAGAATCGTCAGCAAAAATTGATTTTATGAAAAACTATTGAATTACATAATTATGAATTACCTATGGTAAATATAACGGAAAAACGTAATCAAACTTCTTCAAATGTAGTAGATGATGAGGAATACAATTATGCCTTACAAACGGACTTATCTGACAATAATATTAGAGACGAATAATGAAAAAAAACTGAACTTCATTATTTGATGTCAAAATATTTTGATATTCAGTATCATGAAGGTGAAAATTTGACTTTCACAAACGAAATCAAACACGTTATAGAAACAAAACATGAAGAACCATTTTATAGGAGACCATTTAGTTATCCTTACACTTACGATACAGAAGTAGAAAAACAAATTGAAGAAATGATAAGACAAGGTATTATCAGAAAATCTAAATCTCCTTATTGCAGTTCAATTCTAATGGTACCCAAGAAAAGGGATGCATCGGGCATACCCAAATTTCGTATGGCTATTGATTACAGAGGACTGCATGAAATAACTATCAATGATAAATTCCTTATTCCGAACATGGACGAAATATTAGACCCCTAACTTGTCTAATATTTTGTCCATGTTCGGAACAAGTCCGTAAGAATAATAAAATGTCAATACTTTACAACATTAGATCTTGCTAAAGGGTTCCATCAAATTGAAATGGACCCAGACTCTATTCAAAAAACTGCATTATCCACTAAGAAGGGTCACTATGAATATACCAGAATGCCCTTCGGCCTTAAAAATGCACACGCTACATTTCAGCGTTGTATGAATAATATATTACACGACTAATAGGTACCCATTGTCTAGTATATTTAGACGATATTGTTAATCTTTAAAAAAAGTATTCGAACGTCTTCGCAGATCAAATCTCAAACTACATTTAGATAAATGTGAGCTTATGAAACGAGATACTGAATTTTTAGGTCACAGCATCTTAACTAAATATATCAGAGCAAATCCAAAAAAATTCAAGCTATTCCAGATTTTAAAATTCTAAGCTCTTCAAAACAAATAAGATCATGTTTTAGACCTTTGTGGATTTCAGCGTAAATTTATAAAAGATTTCGCAGAAATTGCCAATCAAATGACTTCTCGGAGTAACTTCGGCGACACTTCTCGAAGTCACTTCTGCGGTACTTCTGGAAGTGTCGCCGAAGTCACTTCTGGAAGTGTCGCCGAAGTTACTCCGAGAAGTGCCACCGAAGTGGCACATTTCTTCCCGACGGGAGTCACTTCCGCGATCCGAATGCGATATCGCCGAAGTAACTTCTGGAAGTGTCGCCGAAGTGTCTCCGACGGGAGTCACCTCCGCGATCCGAATGCGATATCGCCGAAGTAACTTCTAAAAGTGTCGCCGTAGTCACTTCTGGAAGTCACTCCGAAGTAACTTTACATTTGCTTGTAGAAGATATCTAGAAGAGTCTTTCCCAATTGGAAAAACTTGAATAAAAACATAGTTATACTTTCAATATTTTGCATTTATTTTGTGTATAAGGGCTTTGTCCGCTTGTATACACGGTCACTGGCATGTAGGAAATTTTGCTGATCAATGTTATTTAGGTGCAGCTCCGTCGACATATGAAATTTATTAATAACCATTTCTAAAGGAAACAGAAACAAAAATTATTTTTTGTTCAGTCAAGGTAAAAATAAACTAGAAGACATTACCTTTTACAATGAAGTATGTTGAGAATCGTTGGATCCGCAGTTACACGCCAAGTAATGTCCACAGCTAGCTTGTCCGTAAATAGCTTTAAATAATCGTACAGCTCACGATAAGCACGTAATTTCACACCCTTTGTTGAGGGGGATATTTAAATATGTTAAGCAATCAATAACATTTAGAAAAACAAATCAATATTTTTAAACTCACAAAATTGATACAAAACCCCACTGTACACAGAAAAATCGCGCAACGAAATGACGCTCGGGCGAAAAATAATAGCGTAGGTCAAAAGGAAGACCAAAAAATTTTTTTTTGGCTTGTTTTTTTCCATTTCTTTTGTTTTTGTAAAATGTGTTCAACCGCCGTTTTATCGCGCAGAAGTGTCTCAGAAGTTAATTCTTCGCGATCGCGACCCTTTTTGTTTTTGTAAAATGTGTACTATCGTCTTTCTATCGTCAAGAAGTGACTTAGAAGTTACTTCTACGCGACACGTGTATATTTTGTTTTTGTAAAATGTGTACTATCGTCTTTCTATCGCGCAGAAGTTACTAAGAAGTGACTCCTGGACGACATGCGATAGAAATATCCCCTTTTGCTTGCAGGGATGTACATCGCTCTCACTCACTGTTTGTTTTTGTATCACCACTATTGCTGTTGCTCCGCACATGTTGAGTGAGTTGAGAAATCGAAGTTAGCTTCGAACTTGAGGTTGCATTGGCTCAGCAGAGGTTCAGGCAGAACAAATGGTGTGTCTATATAGATTCTTACTCTATGCAGGCTCTTTCTAGAAATTGATTCCTGTCTGCATAGTTGCATACTCTTTCAAAAATGTAGTTGGGATTTGGAAATTAAGTTCATTCGCCAGCGATTCCCAGTGTGCGATAAAGTCTGTACCTTACTGCATGAATCTATTCAAACTTACAATTACACACTGTACAGTGCTATGCAGTAGTATCTAAGTTTTAAGGGTATAGGGCTTAAATCTTCCTATAAGTCTTGTTTCTATTGCAGGTAATGCATAAGTCGGAACGAACCGGGACGGACAATTATATCTACATATGTATACATAAGTATATATCTATAACTATAGCTCCTATAGGAGTAATTTTTTGACATATTAACTTCTACTTCTAGAAATATATTTTTTGAATAGTTTAGAATTTCGAATTAAATTTGTAAAAAAAATCGGACGACAATATATGTATGTAGCTATGTATATATAGTTGCCGTAAAAACGATAGGATAGTTAATGGGAAAATAATAGGGAAATAATTATGGCTTTGCTATTTTTAATAGTATTCTCTTCTACTCCGTTATATACAATTTTTATACCCGTTACTTGTAGAGTACTAGATTCGTCGCAAAGTATGTAACATAAAGAAGGAAGCGTTTCCGACCCCATAAAGTATATATATTCTTGATCAGGATCACTAGCCGAGTCGATCTAGCCCTGTCCGTCCGTCCGTCCGTCCGGTTGAACGCTGAGATATCGGAAACTACAAAAGCTAGAAAGTTCGGATTTGGTACATATGTAGATTCCTGAGCTTCTTGGGCAGCGCAATTTTGTTTCAGCAGGGTGCCACGCCCACAAACCGCCCAAAACTGTGGCTCCTACAACATTCATGCTAAAATAAAAGTTTAACTGAAATGTATTAGTCTCGTCAATACCTATCGATTGACCCAAAAAAATCGCATAAATCTGTCTGTTATGTGGGCAGCCATATGTTGAGATCGCGGGTAGGTGCTGCATATTAATCTCGCTTTGCTGCTTGCATATCTCCATTTCCCTTTGGTCCCTTTAGCTGAGTATCTGTTAGTCGAGGTACTCGACTTTAGCATCTTCCTTTTTTAAAAATTATTTTGTAATAAAGAACATTATTAGATAAAAATTGGAGTACTAAATCATATAGCTCCAATAGGAAGTATAACAAAATGAATGCCAAAATAATACAAAAATCGTGGTATTTCTTTATCGGCAAAACGTATACGCTAGTGGATAAACTTCCGTGTAGCTTCAACGTTTTTGTTCAAACTTTCCATACCAACGTGTTTTTGGTTCCTGATTACGGGAAAAATAGTCAAAGTTGGAGCAAGTTACGGGATCTTCGAAAATAACGGGAAAACCCGTAAAATTTTTGGTTTTTTGCTGTTTTATCAGATAATATAAGAAAAATCAAAAAATGTTTCAGACAAAAACAGATGATATTTACAAAACGAATCTTTTTTGTTATAATCATTTTTTCGGAAAACTTAATGGTTTTCGAAAAAATCTAAAAGTAATATTTTAAAAAGGAGGTGAACATTTTAAAATATTTCAATATCCCGCCATAAAAATGCCGTCAGATAGTTTCGACTAATCGATTACAGCATTTTAGGTGATGCTTCGACTTTTTTTTACGATATATCGTGTACACACATACATACTAAAGATAGTCCCTGCAAGCAAAAGGGCGATATTTCTATCGCATGTCGTCCAGGAGTCACTTCTTAGTAACTTCTGCGCGATAGAAAGACGATAGTACACATTTTACAAAAACAAAATATACACGTGTCGCGTAGAAGTAACTTCTAAGTCACTTCTGGACGATAGAAAGACGATAGTACACATTTTACAAAAACAAAAAGGGTCGCGATCGCGAAGAATTAACTTCTGAGACACTTCTGCGCGATAAAACGGCGGTTGAACACATTTTACAAAAACAAAATATACATATAACGCGTAGAAGTCACTTCTAAGTCACTTCTGGACGATAGAAAGGCGATAGCACACATTTTACAAAAACAAAAAGGGTCGGGATAGCGAAGAAGTAACTTCTGAGACACTTCTGCGCGATAGAAAGACGATAGTACACATTTTACAAAAACAAAATATACACGTGTCGCGTAGAAGTAACTTCTAAGTCACTTCTTGACGATAGAAAGACGATAGTACACATTTTACAAAAACAAAAAGAGTCGCGATCGCGAAGAATTAACTTCTGAGACACTTCTGCGCGATAAAACGGCGGTTGAACACATTTTACAAAAACAAAATATACATATAACGCGTAGAAGTCACTTCTAAGTCACTTCTGGACGATAGAAAGGCGATAGCACACATTTTACAAAAACAAAAAGGGTCGGGATCGCGAAGAAGTAACTTCTAAGACACTTCTGCGCGATAGAAAGACGATAGTACACATTTTACAAAAACAAAAGAAATGGAAAAAAACAAGCCAAAAAAAATTTTTTGGTCTTCCTTTTGACCTACGCTATTATTTTTCGCCCGAGCGTCATTTCGTTGCGCGATTTTTCTGTGTACAGTGCGGTTTTGTATCAATTTTGTGCGTTTAAAAATATTGATTTGTTTTTCTAAATGTTATTGATTGCTTAACATATTTAAATATCCCCCTCAACAAAGGGTGTGAAATTACGTGCTTATCGTGAGCTGTACGATTATTTAAAGCTATTTACGGACAAGCTAGCTGTGGACATTACTTGGCGTGTAACTGCGGATCCAACGATTCTCAACATACTTCATTGTAAAAGGTAATGTCTTCTAGTTTATTTTTACCTTGACTGAACAAAAAATAATTTTTGTTTCTGTTTCCTTTAGAAATGGTTATTAATAAATTTCATATGTCGACGGAGCTGCACCTAAATAACATTGATCAGCAAAATTTCCTACATGCCAGTGACCGTGTATACAAGCGGACAAAGCCCTTATACACAAAATAAATGCAAAATATTGAAAGTATAACTATGTTTTTATTCAAGTTTTTCCAATTGGGAAAGACTCTTCTAGATATCTTCTACAAGCAAATGTAAAGTTACTTCGGAGTGACTTCCAGAAGTGACTACGGCGACACTTTTAGAAGTTACTTCGGCGATATCGCATTCGGATCGCGGAGGTGACTCCCGTCGGAGACACTTCGGCGACACTTCCAGAAGTTACTTCGGCGATATCGCATTCGGATCGCGGAAGTGACTCCCGTCGGGAAGAAATGTGCCACTTCGGCGGCACTTCTCGGAGTAACTTCGGCGACACTTCCAGAAGTGACTTCGGCGACACTTCCAGAAGTACCGCAGAAGTGACTTCGAGAAGTATCTAGATAGAAGTATCTAGTATCTAGATAGGCCGCTGCCGACCACTGGTCTACATTCATCTACATTATCTACTAAATCACCGTGGGCATTAATGACAAGGTTAAATAGTAAATGAAGTAAGGTTTCTTGCTTTAACTTCTTATAATAAAATTGAAATACAGTGGTGCTCATAGACTTCTGCCACTACTTTAAACTGTTTTCTTAATAACTTTTTTGAACATATCTATTTCGGCCTAAAATTTTTACATTTTGCAACACTGTTATTTAAGCAGCTGATCACAGTAAAAAATTACAAGTAGGTATTCGGAGGTTCCCAAAATATTGACTAAATGTCAAAAAGGAGTATTGCGCTCTGCTCATATACTTAAGCTACCTTGAGCTAAAATCGTCAAACTTGTGTTTTTTCCGGGAACGCTGTGCTAGTTATTTTCTAAAATAAAATATTGAATACTAAATACGTTTCCCAAAACAATTTGACGGCTATGGCTAAAAATAAAAATACAAATCCGGCCGAACGAAAGCTAATATGAGAATATTACTAAAAAAAAAGCACAAGTATTCTACAAATTTGTAAGACTTTACATTTTTTGCGTGGCAAAGTCAGAAATGACATTGCATTTTATGAGAAACATGGAACCTGGGAAAATATTCCACGTGAAAAGCCCAGAAAAACCACTTTAAACGTCGATAGACAGATTGCCAAAATCAGTAAAACCGATCCGTTCTTGACTTCGACGCAAATCAGAGGTCAAATGGTGGCAGATTATGTGTCACCTCAGACCATAAGACGGCTAAATGAACTTGGTTTATATGAACGCATTGCCCAAAAAAAAAACATTGCTGTTTATTAAAAATGTTAAAAGCGCCTTTAATTAGTCAGAGAGAATGTTCAAAAAGGTCCCAATTTTTTCGAACATGATTGTTTGGAGCGACGAATCCAAGTTTAATGTCTTTGGGAGTGATGGTAAACCATATGTACGACGTCCTCCCAACAAACAATTGGACCCCAAATACACGAAGAAGACCGTTAAACAAGGTGGCGCTTTCGATTATGGTCTGGAGCTGTTTCACCGCATCGGGCGTAGGTCCCCTAGTGAAGGTATAAGGCATTATGAACGGCGAAATGGACAGGGACATCCTTATGAACACTTTATCTGCAGAATATGCCGATAATTTGCCACTTGTCTGAATATTTCAACAGCAGAACGACCCGAAAACACCAGCAAGATAGTCAAGTCGTGGCTTAATCAATGTTTTGCAATGGCCACCGCAGGGACCCGACTTGAACCCTATAGAGAACTTGTGGGGAATTCCTAAATAAGTCGTTGGCTAAAAAAAAACCAGCAAGTTAAAACGGTTTGTGGCGAATTTCGCAGAAAAGAGTGGAAGAAAATCACCCCTCAACAGTGCGCACGTCTTGTGGATTCAATGCCAAAGCGTTGCTCCGCTGTTTTTAAGCAGAAAGGTCATCCCACTCAATATTAAAGTAAATTTATTAAAAAGAAAAAAGAATATTGGGCAAAGTATGTGAGCAGAAACATTTTGGAGATGGTCAAAGATTTTTAAAGTTTTTCGTTGAAAATAAATTTGTATAACTTGGTTATTCTTCTATTAGAACACTGGTATGTAGAACTAATGTGACACAAAAATTGGGGATGTGAAATAAAAACTTTTCTTAATTTTCGTTTAAATGCTTGGTTGAAGTCTTGTGGCTTAAGTCTATGAGCACCACTGTACATAGCTCTGTCGCCGAATTCACTTCTGGAAGTGTCGTTGAAATGCCACATTTTTTCCCAATATTATACTCAAAAATAACATATTTGAATTCGTCAATTTTATATCACTTTATCTTTTACCTAACCAGCTGAAAACCCAGAAGCTAGGGGTAGAACAGTATTATCGGTTCATCTAAAGGCAGATTAGACTTTGTACGTACGTCAATTCAAATTCCAACTATCTTTGATCAACTGAAATTTCTGTAACACCTCTTCAAAGGTAAATTACGGGGGGAGACTCAAAATCGCTTAGAGCTTATTATGGTCAAAATTCTTACGAAGAATGGCAACATGATTGCAATATCCGGTGGAGACAAATCATAAATGTTTTAATTTTTTAGGTACGCGTTTTTCATTTTTGAAAGCCAAACTAAATATAAATAACCGCACGTAATTGCTTAGTGGTAATTTAACTATTTTCAACCTAAAAATAACTATCAATTTTATGAATAGGGTAGCCAAAAAAAAAACATTCATAACGAATGTTTGATTTTCGATCGCCTAAAACTAAAATACATCATTTTAATACGAAAAAGGAATTAATTTCCAAGGTAAAACACGTGGACGCTATTGTACCAAAACCGTGTCGTGCTCCTGTACAGAATAGAAGTCCAGCGTTTTTGCATTGTTATCCAGCGGAACAACCAGATCAGGGTGCTGGGCATCAACGTAGCACAGCTGGGGAACGTTACCGCCTAATTGAAATCGCTTCATAACCAATCCTTGCCAGAGTTTGCACAGTAATCATTCGCGGAACTTTTTTATCCCAAGTTTCGCCCGTCAGCTGATGCTGTATGCAACCTTAATTAAGTTCGATCGTTTCGCTTGGCTGGGTGGTAAAAAGTCTATTGGAGAACCATACTCTGTGAAAAAAACGCTTTAGTTTGAATCACCTGGCTCAGAAGAACTTACTTTTAACAAGCAAATGATAAGTGCGATGCCTCCGGTTAAACTCACGCAACGAATCCGATCCTTGATGCGTCGCTTGCATCCAGTCCGGGGCATACTTCTTCCAAATATCGTACTCGGCACCACGTCTTTCCTCCGCTGTCACCAGGGCCTTGTTGATAAATTCTATTCCGCTAATGCTAGCAACGGCCTTGGAGACCATTTCATCAAAATTGGACTTCAGATGTGGCGTCTTGTTCAGGCGCCTCAACTGAGGAAGCTTGTCAAGCTCGTTAAAAGCATCGGCCTGGGAAAGAAAATATAATATTATTATATATTATGATTCGTTGTATCAAAATGTAAAAGCCGGGCCTACTTCGTTCCAAATGGGATTGTAAAGAAGGTTTAACTGTTCCAGAGAGGCGAACATATTAAGCTTTTCTTGGGGATCACAGTCAGGAAGTTTTATCTCTTCGATGCCGTTCTCCATGAGATTCAACAAGCGCAACGTCGTCAAGTTGCCCAACTTCGCCACCTGGTCAAAATCTATTATATTCGTGCGGTGCAAGTCGAGCTCCTGGAGCTGCCTAAAGATCTTCTTTCGATCGACCTCGGCAAGCTGACCGAAAGAGTTCTCCTGCAGGCCCAGTGACACAATATTAGGCCAAAGCAGCGCCCGTCTGCATCACGTCCTTCCATTCGGTGAAGCCGCAGTTGCGCAGATTGATGCGCTTTAGCTGCCGGAAGGCAGGCTCCAGATCAGAGATTTGGGAAGACATGGGCAGAAACCAGTCGATTGGAGCTGAAAGATTAGTTAAATGACAGTGGTAGTCCAGGGCTTTAATAGTCCCTCACTCACCTCAGGTTCAGGCTAGTCAAGGAGGGTAACTGCTGCGCGATGCTGGCCACAGTCTCCCAGTTCCAGATCAAGGTGTGGCTTACGTTCAGCGTAGTCAGCTGTGTCAGCTCCTTCAAGTACCCGGCAGCGTTCACTGGCGTCTGATCTACGCTTATCTCCGCCAGCTGCTCGAACTTGCTCTGCTTTCGAGCGATTTTTGTCCATGCCCACGACCTCAAAGAGCGACGCCTGCAGACTAGCTTGTGTTTTCCCGATAAGGGACTCGTCGACGTTGCTGAGTCGTAGTTCAGGTACCGCTTCCCGGGCAGCGTCCTCCAGGGTGGCGCACGGCCCCAACTTGCCCGGCCGGATTAAAACTGCCCGCCATAGGCTTCTGTGTCTGGAAATAACGCTTGCCGTCTACGATGCCGTTTGTGCTTGCCCCGCATCCCGTCGTCCACTCAATTCCTAGCCAGGTGCCCATGTGGCCGGCTAACCTGAAACAAGGACCACAGGTCGGTATTATGCACAGCGATAACCTAATTCTTCAGCTTCTATACCTCTCCCACATAACGCACTGTGCCATAGTTTTCGGATATCTTGATGCGTGTCCCCAGCGGATAAAACAGATGTGGCTCGTCAATAATTCCCACCATCGCTGTTGCCGTTGTATACAAGTATAGACGGCTTACACACACGCACTCGCCTTTGTGTCTGTTGCTCACTGCTGCTCCCAAATTGTGCTCGGTTTTAATTCCAGTTGATTTGTCCCAGGTTTAGATCGACATCAAAAGCAGAAAAGATAAAATATTAGCACTATGTTTATATCTGCAGACTAAATTATGACTCAGAAACTATTCGTTTTATGTAGTTAATACCCTATTCACACAGAGGGGGTTTTTGCTTCAACGCCCAAATTCCGCTTCCAAATAGCGTCTTCCCACAGAGGTCCATCCACCATCTACCATCCGTTGAACGGATGGTCCACAAGGTTTTACCGTTCCGAAAATTTCCCAGTTAGTTCCCCATCCAAATTTGACGGACTCTTTTATGTGATAGTAAGGCAATGTTTGTTTGGTGAAACTCTGATGTCTTCTTCTTGACAGTGGAAATTAAAACATTCACTACGAAAACGTAAACAATAATGACAGGGAAAAATCGGAAAATGGAAGGCGCAGAAGCAAAAAGACTTGGTTCGAGCCAGGTCAGCTGTTATCGGATGGTGGGTGGTGGATGTGCTCTGTGGGAATCGGAGTTTCACATTTTAAAAATAGGAGGCGCAGAAGCAACAGGCTTGGATTGATCAGTCACAGGTCTTCAGATCAAGCTGTTATCGGTTAGTAGATGGTGGCGGTGACCTGTGTGGATCGGAGTTTCACATCTGTCAAAAATCCCAACCGTTTCGAACGGATGGACCATAGGGGAAGGGAGTTCAAGCGACCTCTTCCTCCACCAGAAATACACGCATAGGAAAGAGACAGTACAACTCGCTGCAGCGGAAGTTGTGACCGCACACACAAATTGATTCAGTATTTTAGTGATTTATTCTGCATTTTTTATGAGCTTTTTGAGAAAGAAAAGCATTTAAATTGCAATGGCGCCGTTATAAGGAAATTGTTGTTTGTGCTGTAATTAATGTTATCTTGAAAATAAATATTTGTATGCATTTTTTATGGAAATGGCCGACCTCCAGTTTTTGTGTCCTTCTTGGCAAGATAGGGCACTTGTTGCACCAAAACGTACATTATTTATCAAAAAAAAATGTCATTTAAAGACGCATCCAACCTCCCAAAATGATTGCTTAAAAATGGATATAGTCAAAGACCAGTACGCGAGAAAGGTTTTATAAGTTTCTTAAAGGGTCCAAACGGTTCCAAACAGTCAAAATTCTCCTGCCGCTACTATTGGTCCACAATAGTTCCTATTCATTTCACTTTGCCTGAACCGAAATCTCATTCTTGATTAATTTGCTAATAGCAATGAAATAATCACTTGGCGCTGAAAGCATATCACATGCTAACATTCAAATTGTATAAAGTTTTGCGTTGTTTTCCATTTTTTTCGGGAGCAACTGAGTTTGCACTTCCTCCCTTTCGTATATGGTTTGCTTAAACCGAATACCAGTAGAGTAGCCAAATATCGATGGCACCATCGATAATATCAATTATTACTATATACCTATTCACACAGAGAGGGTTTCTGCTACAACGACCAAATTCAGCTTTAGCGATTTTTTCTTTAATAGGAAATACACGTGCTAGATAGGGACGCAAAAACGTCGATACATCTCTCTTTGCGGAAAATTGGACAGCGCACGCAAATCGATTCAGTATATCTGCGTTTGTATTTATAATTAAAAATGCATTGTGCCGTTACAGGTAAATTGTTGTTGGTGCTGGCCCACGGAGCCTTCCAAAAGCTCAGCGATACTCAGGTGAGCTAAGGAAATACCAGAAAAATAGCAGATGTAGCGAGTGAATTTCGATGAACGCCGTTAGCCGCGTCCCAATGAATAAGAAATTTAATCTGTGGCGGTGTTCGTGCAAACGCGTTATAGAAAAAATAAAATAAAAATGGAAAGAAAACCGCAAAAACGACTGCAGGATGTCAGTGCAGATAAAAAAGGACGCCTAGTCCAAGCTGTGGCCCATTACTGTGCGACTTCACCGACAGGAAGCAATACCACAATAGGGCAAATCCGCAGAATAGTTGAAGTGCTGGAGGAGATCCACTAGAGAATGCAAAGAAACATGCGGAGTGGGACTTCGCTCCCTAAATCTACATCCTGCCGGGCATGTCCTTGCAAAGAAAGTAAGTTCTGGGCAAAACAATTTGGTTACGTTTTACTAATAGAAGTATCTTTTTAGCAGAACCACCAGTAATACGGTCTCCGACGACCTCTCCATTAGGACTCCGGATACCACCACCACCAGCTACTTGGCAGCTCAAGCGGAGATGGAGGACCCGCTGGCTTCTATAGGAAGGAGGAAAATAGGGCTCCCGCTAAGGAGCAGTTGGAGAAGCCATAGTCAGCCACTGCCAGGATGCTGGGCGACTTCCTGCAGCATCAGCGGATCAACCCAGTTCTTCCACTTTCTCAAGGTCCAATATGCCCATTGGGACTCGGAGCTGGACTGCGGTGGCGCGGAAAAGGATGCGAAGCATCCGTGGGACGAGAAGGAAGCTTTAAACTACTAGTTTACATAAATAAAAACATACATAGAACATTCCATTTATTTTTATTCTAATTTCCTTGTGTACCAGCAGACTTCTTTTTTTTTAATTTCTCCAATTAATTCGTTTTCCGTTTGGCAAAAAACCCAACTGCTTGACAGTAAGACCATGCTACGTGCATTGCGGGTAAACTTTGAAAACTTCTAGAAAACGACTAGTGAAACTCTTAGCCGATCTGAGTACTAGGCTTTTGGAAATAAGCCCAACCGCTTAACAGTAAGACCATGCCACAGGCATTTTTAGACTAGTGAAATTCTTAGCCAATCTGAGTACTAGACTTTAACATCAAAAAGTCTTAAAAAAAAGTGTGACAGGGCCTTAGTATTTTTTGTGTATTTATGGTATTTAGTATGGTATTAAAGATATTTAGTGACAGAATTGCTGTGGTCACTCTGACAGTCGACGAAAAGTTTTCATATAATAATAGAATAATTTGCGATATTTAAGTGATTTTGAAAAGGTTTGTATCTCAAATTCAATTGTATTTATTTCATGTTTGTCTAGCTGTCATTTACTTACTTCTTGGATACTGAACGTGCATTTCGGTGGCTGGACTACACCGTCTGCACTACAGCGAGTCAAATGGTTGGACAGGATGCCGAGCTGGTCAAGTTGGCGTCCACCACTTCGCTGGAAGTTATCTATCGAGGACACGGGGAAGACTGCCTGGCGCTGTTATAAACCTACATACATGAGTTGTCCGAACTCAGAGTGACCGACCATTACCTGCTAAGTCCTCGAAATATGTTTGTAACGGTCCTAACATATATTGAAATTAAATAATTTAAGCATGTTTTAGGGGTTTCAATATTTATTTTAATACAAGAAACAACCAATTAAAACCAAAACTGAATATTAATATTTCAGGCATATCAATATGTTATGAAAAATTATCAGTTTGATGTTAAAAACTGTCAGTTTGATATGAATGCTTGCTTATGAGTTTGATATTGAAAAGTACCACAATTTTGTCACAAATTTGATATGCGCGCAAAAATATTAATTGGCTACACAAGGGTCCAAAATTAATGAGGACCGCCCCAATATTCCTATTAGGCTATTATCTTTTCTTGGTTGCTCGCGCCCTCAACAATTGCCATTCTCCATAATCCAATTTGCGACTGTCCGCGGTCCCAGCTAATATACAGACGGCTGAATGCACATCTGCAGATAAACCGACATATTTGTACATACATATAGATGTACATATATACACATTTGGCGTATGGTTGAATATCATATTGGGCACCCCCGGTCGAAAACAGCCGGTACAATATTTTGGCGCCTAATTAGGCGAGAGTATAAGAGTGGAAAAGCTCGGAAACGCATGCGCCGAGAGGAAGAAAGTAAAAGCTCGTCCCAAGGACAATACGAGGCAACGAAACTCAAAGCCTCAGTAGCTTGCAGCCAGCCGCCAAGCAAAAACCCCTAATTTGCATGCTTTATGCAGATATACATCAGAAATGTGATTAAGAAAGGAATGCGAATTAACAGCAAATGTGTTTTAGCCGTGGTTTTTGCTCAACAGTGTCAAAAGCGCGTCAGCAATTCGTCGCGGGAAATAAGCGAGCTGTGCACTAGACCACGTGGCATTGGCAACCAAAGGAACTATAGGTAACTACTGATGTGAAGTCGAATCGGATGTCGCACACAAACTTTTCTTTTTTATTTTTGCGCAAATGTCCAGAAACTATGAAAACAAATATGTTGTAGATTGATTAAAAAAAACTTTTTGTTGGGCTCCTTGCAAACTGGTTTTCAGATGACTCAACAAAGATAACCGGGAAATCGACTTGTATACGTTTAATACTATAAGGAATAGGCGAATCCGGAGAGCGATTACAATATATATTCGAAAACAATGTAAATATTCCCATACCCATCAGCATAGGAAATACATACATACATTCGTACACGTGAACAATGTACATACATACCTATGTACATGGGCGTCGGGCATTTAAACTGATTTCCTAAATACAATTTTTATCTATGTATGTATGTATTATTTTCTCTTGCAATGGCAAAATTAAATCAATATGCTCCGGCATTTTTTGCCTCTCCACACTCACAGAAATTTTAAGGTAAAATCGCCCTAAAACGGGGGTTAATGCGGTTGAGTAACAAAATAAGGCAATTTTTTCTAAAAACATGCATTACGTTTGGGTCGATTTTTTCTTAAATCTAGGGCGACTTAAAGGCAATTGCCCTTCAAATAAGAAATAATTGTTGAAATAACAGACATTTTTCTAGAATTGTTGCTCTACGTTTTGAATCAGTGGTGCCCACACAAATACAATGAAATGTAAGACTTTCAGTTCTAAAAAATCAGTTTTCATCCGTTAACCACCGAGGACACTTCGGCTGTCACGCGTGACTCACGCAGGACGCTCCATATTGACATTTGAATAGAATATCCGCT